AAAAAAAAAAAATGAGCTGGGCATCACCTGTAGTCCCAGCTACTGGGGAGGCTGAGGTGGAAGGATCACCTGAGTCCAGCAGGTTGAAGCTGCGGTGGCTGTGAGCGTCCACTGCACTCCAACCTGGGCCACAGAGTGAGACTCTAACTCAGAAAAAAAAAGAAAAGAAAGAAAAAAGGAGTGCTATGACATATGACAGAATGCTGTGTAGTGATGAGTATTCGAAAGGAGAATGAGGGGAGGGCTCGGAGAGGGACAGTCACAAGGGTGTTTTGATTGAGTGATCAGGGAAGGCCTCTTTAGGGGAATGATGGTGAAGCACAGGAGACAGAATGGAGGGAAAAGAGTTTCAGGCAGAGGGAACAGCCAGAGCAAAGGCCCAGGGGCTGGAGATGTATGGTGTGTTGGAAGAACAGTGAGGATGTTTCTCGTGCACAGGGAATCTTTCTCCACCTTGATCCCACTTTAGGGCTGAACTAGACTGAAGTTAAAAAGAAAAGAAGGAGCCACGCACGTTGGCACATGCCTGTAATCCCAGCACTTTGGGAGACGGAGGTGAGAGGATTGCCTGCACCCACGGGTTTGAGACCAGCCTAAGCAACATGGTGAGACCTCGTCTCCACAATAAACATAAAAAAATTAGCTGGGCGTGGTGGCGTGCACCTGTGAGTCCAGCTACTTGGAAGGCTGAGGCGAAAGGATCACCTGAGCCCAGTAGGTCAAGGCTGTGGGCCACTGCACTCCAGCTTGGGCAACAGAGTGAGACTCTTGACTCAAAAATAAATAAATAAAACAAAAAGAAAGAAAGGCAAGAAGGGGAGAAACTGGTTTCTCCACCTGGGGGGGTGCCTTTGTCTCTCCTACATGGGAGAGGTCTCAACTCAAGATGTGAACCCATCCTCCAGATCCAAGTGTGGAGTAGTCTCCCTGACTCCACCTCATGCCCAGTAACCAGCCCTGGTTCAAGCCAACAGCCCAAGACCAGGCCTTCATTCACACATAATGTTGATGATAATTTTAGTTAGCGTGTATCAGGCACTCGCTGTGTGCCAGATATTATAATTCATTTAATGGCCTATATTACAATTCATTTAAATCTTGCCAGAGCCCTATTCTCATCCCCCTTGTACAAAGAAGGAAACTGAGGCACAGACAAGTCAAATAACAGGTCCAAGGTCATACAACTACTTAATGGCAGAACTGGGCATTGGGCCTACACAGTCTGGATTTAGGCTCGCGAACTTCACCACTGTACTGTCCTCCACCAGTTCGGAAATGAAGGCCCTTCCCCACCTGTTCCAGCCCTCAGAAGGTGGAGGGCCTCACTGAAGTCGGTTTGCTGGTCTGTAAAATGAGGCTACACGCGTGCACGCGCGCACACGCACACCTTACTTACTCCACTGGTCTTTGCTGAGCTGGCAGCTTATCCACTGCCCACTGTTAAATAAATAGGCCTCAGCTGTTCTTCCCCATAGCACCCTCTGTAGGGTTGCTCTTACACGAGGCAACTTATTCATAAATAAAAGCCTTATGGAAAGGGATTTTTTTTTTTGGTTTTGGTTTTCTCTTCCTTTCTTTATTTTTGAGTCAGAGTCTCACTCTGTCACCCAGGCTGGAGTGCAGTGGCATGATCACGGCTCGCCACAGCTTTAATCTCCTGGGCTCAGGTGATCCTTCCATCTCAGACTCCCAAGTAGCCGAACCTACAGGCGTGCCACCTTGTTCAGCTTATATTTAAAAATTTATTGTAGAGATGAGGTCTCACCATGTTGCCTAGGCTGGTCTCGAACCCCCGGACTCAGGCAATCCTCTCATCTCTTCCTTCCAAAGTGCTAGGATTACAGGTGTGAGCCATTGCACCCAGCTGGGATTGTCCTTTTAACTTTCATTGTGGAGGCTGTCATGGAATCTAGTCTAAATCAAAATTGGCTCCTGGATCTGGGCTTGGGTCACCTTAATACTCTTTTAAAAAATGAGAATGATACTCTAGAAAACCAAGAGACAGAGCAGTGCAAGGTTACTCCTTTTAAAATAACACTTAAATCTTTACCTTTTGATGTGTGACACATTCATGTGATTCTAAATTCAAAAGGTATAAAAAGGGATTTGTGGAAAGTCTCCTTGTCCCCCAGGTCCCCTTCTCAGGGGAAGCCTCCTCTGAGGTCACCTTTGTAATCAGTTGCTTATAAATTTTATACATCCTTCTATTCTGTGGTCAGGTACTGCCCGGTGGAACGTTCAGCAGTGATAGGAATGTTCCTTATCTGCACTGTCCAATACAGAGGCTACTGGCTTCATGCGGCTACTGGACACTTGAAATGAGGCTAGCGTGACTGAAGAACTGAATTTCAATCTAATTATTTATTCATATTTAGACAGTCTCATGTGGCTAGTGGCTTTCATATTGGGCACCACAGCTGTGTACATACACAGGTAAATTTGCATGTCTGTATTTTTTTTTTTAATCGGTCTCACTCTGTTGCCCAGGCTGGAGTGCAGTGGCATGATCACGATAATCACGGCTCACAGCAGCCTTGACCTCCTGGGCTCAGGCAATCCTTTTACCTTAGCATCCCAAGTAGCTGGGACTACAGGCACCACCATGTCTGGCTAATTTATTTATTTTGTAGAGATGAAGTCTCACTATGTTGCCCAGACTGGTCTCGAACCCCTGGACTCAAGCAATCCTCCTGTCTCAACCTCCCAAAGTGCTGGGGTTACAGGTGTGAGCCACCACTCCTGGCTTGTCTGTATTTTTTATCTTATTTCCTCTTTCTGTTCCCCCCCACGCCCCCCCAGGGAAGGTAGCATATTCTACACACTGTTTTGCATCTTGCTTTATACGTTGGGGTGCGACAGATGTCAGCACCTTTCGTTCTTCCTCTGGAGCTGGTCAAATCCCCCTGAGAAAACTCCCCCAGCTCCTGGCAGGGGCGGGGGGGGGGTAGAGGCCAGGGTACCAGCTTCTGGGGGCCACAGTGTGTGGGAGTGGTGGTGGGACAAGGTGGAGAGCTGGTGTTCAGTCAGTGGGAGGCTGGTGATGGCAGTCCCCTCCCCTCATCCTCAAATGGGCCTGGTGTCCCCAAGGCTGGTGGACTCTTGTTTTATGCTGACTACAGGATAAACCTCCAGTTATGGGGGGGCAGGGTGGGAGTTGGGTGATTTGGAGATCAAACTGCTTCCTAATAGCCTCAGTTAGCCTTGATTTTAGTTTCCCCACACGCCTGGTGTGGCCGAATCCTTTGAAGGACTCTGCTATTGGCTCTTAGCAGTCCCCAGTTGCCTAGGATTTTTGCTTTTTGGGGGTTGGAGGAGGGGTTGGAGTTAGCTTATCCAGCTGCTTTTCAGCTCCCAAAGTTTTGTACCTGTCACCTCCTTTCCTACTGTCCCTGTCATTTTCTTGTTTATTTTAGAGGCAGGGTCTTACTATGTTGCCCATGTTCTTGGACTCCTGACCTCAAGCATTGCTTCCGTCTCGGCCTCCCAAAGTGCTGGGATTACAGACGTGAGCCACTGTGCCCAGCCATCCCTGTCATTTTCTATAGATGTAACTGAGTCTCAGGAGAGAGTGAAATTAGAGATGTGTCCAGTCCATCACTTTCACAGACGTTTCACCTGGCCTTTTTCACTTATAAACTCTACTGAAGGAGATCTGTGTTACTAAAATAGTAATAATGTTATAAAGAGTTGTTTACTCTCATCCCAAGGCCAGGATACAACAATTGAATATTCGTCCCACTTCCCAGCAGTCTTCCAAAAGAGGGATTGCTTTGGAAAGCTGAGGGCCTGGCGCTTCCTGAGTTGGGTGGGCACTCTTGGTCTTGGGAGGGGGTGTGACAAGAAGGGTTGTGCCCAAAAGCCACAAGGCAGGGTGCGTGGGCAAATTGGGTGGCTGGTTTGGGAGGGTGGTTGCTTCCCCCAGGGAGGCGTTAAGATTTTTTATAACCTGCCCTGAGGCAGTGATGATGGGCTGTCATCACCCTGTCATATTTCCATTACCTCGTTTGTGGCCGGCTCCAGGGTAAGCAGGTAGCAAGAAAGCTCCAGGCAGAGAGAGACCTTGTGTAGACACATTGCAGCCTTCTCTTGTGTGTCTGTTTTACCTGCTGAGAAAGTTGTTTGCTGAGCTGAGCGTGCTTCTTTTAAGAATACTTGATGGTAAACTGGCACAATCTCAGTGCAGGCAGCTCAGCCATATCCATCAAAATGACAAAACATCCACTGTTAGACCACACTTTTACTGCTGAGGATTTATTCTGCCCATCTAGTGGTACAGCTGTGTACAGAGTTAACCTCTGTGATTCATGAAAGCGACAGATTGGAAACTCCAAACTTCACCCAGTGGGGGGAATGATTACACGAGTTGTGGTATCTCTATCCACGGATTGCTGTGCAAAAACACCCCCCCGCAACAAACAAAAACAACAAAAATGAGAATAACTGTAGGAACTATCTGGAAATATCTCTCAGATATATGTTTAAATAAAAAAAAAGTAAGGTGCAAAACAGTGTATATAATATGCTATGTTATGCATAGAAAAGAGAAGATGAGGTTATAGAGATGCTTGCTTGTATTCACATA